CCCCCAAGGGCTTTTCTCCCCAGTCCCCAAAGACCAGTGGTCCCCTGCAGAGGAGAATAGGACTCCTCTCTGGCAGTTCTGGGCGTACCATCTTAGTCCACTCTGCTTGACAATGACAAGTGGCTGGTGGCATTTCCAAGTGTGTGTGTGTCTGAGTGTATGACGAGTGTGCTCACCCAGTGTACCCACATGCCTGGGTATGCACATGTAGGTGCAGCTGAGGCCGGATCTGTGTGCCCCTCTTGGACCCCAAAGAATTTGTTTGGTGAAGTCCATGGGGGCATCTGGCCAGCAAGTTACACGTGGCCCCTTTCACAGAGCGAGTTTGTTTCGAGTGGGAGCTGAGGCAGAGTGTTGGCTGCAGTGAGCAGGAATTCCTCCCTCACCTAGCAGGAGCCATAAATATCTCCCCGTCTGTGGCTGGAAAAAATATATATATTAAAAACACGCTGTCAATTGGGGTTTATATGCAATGCTGGGCTCCTCCTGGCTGCTGGAGCTTCCCCTCCAGAGCTCTGATGAAGAGGCAGAGTCCTCTCGGGAACATGCACATGCACACACACGTGGAAACAGGCAGCATGTGCAAGAAAGGCAGGGTTGCGGGGGAGCTTTGTGGCTATTCCAGGGGATCCGGAGGGGCTCAGGGAAGGGAGGGAAGGGACACTGGCCACCGTAGCCCTAGCCTGGCCTAGGTCTGGGCACTGCTTGAAGCCTCCAGTCCACAAGCCATTGATGTGAGGGAGTGTCCCATGGTGTGTGGATGAATGGGGAGCGGCCCGGAATCTGGAGCCAAGTCCCATTTCAGAGACTTGTTCTGCAGAGCCCACTCGGGTCCAGGCTGAGTCAGAGTCCAGATTTATCACCTGTTCCCTCATAGCCCTCCCTTCCGGAAGCCTGCAAAGTGGCCAGAACCACAGGCAGGGGAGGTCTGCCTTGGATGTGTGGATTGTACAAGTGGCCCAGGACCCTGGAGCAGGGCGGTCACAGAGCTGCATGAGCTGACCCGACACCCCCAAAAGCACTGAGAATGAACTGTGGGCTCTGAGGTTCCCTCCCTCCCCAAACCTGGCCCAGGGGCAGGGACCCAAATACCTGCCTGTCCAGGGCATCCATCAGACACAGAGGCTGGACTCACTTTTTAGGTGGCTGCATTTGATGGGCTGAATAGGAGGCAGCCGAGAGCACCAAAGGAGCTCTCTGGTCCTCAGCACCAGGATGGAGGGAAACATGGAGTTGTCTTGGGGCTAAAGGGAGGCAGCTGTGCCCTCTGTCCCATCTCCAAATCTCTCCAGGAAATGACAGGAGTGTAGTCTCTGAAGAGAGGTGCAGGGAGGGGGGTCAGGGTTTTATTTCCTGCCTTCATCAGGGTGGCCCTGAATTAGGGGGTGTACTAGGTGCCCACTGCTCTGGCAACCAAGCTGGAAAGAAGTCCGGAAAGGCTGCCAGGGGATGTGACCCCAAAAGACTGGGGAGTGAGAGAGACAGCCTTGGGGGTGTGAGCCCGGTGGGAGAGGATAAAAGATGGAGGCCAGCACCTGCCCACATTCTGCCAGCCAACACCATCCCTGCCCCTCCACTGGCCCGCAGGCCACCAGCTGGCCCATTGTGCCCGGTGAGAAAGCAGACAGTGGAGGGGGGCTCCCATGTGGGCAAGGGCTCACTCATGCCTGCCCGCCCAGCAGGGCCTGCCAGGGCAGAGCCACCCTGAGCTGGGGATGAAGAGGGAGGAGGGGAGTGGCCGAGAGATGGAGCGTGGAGACTGAGCCGGATGCATGGCCGGCCAGCGCCCCTCTGGGAGGCCACCCTCCACCTTCCAAGTGGAGAACGGAGGCCCCGCTGTGCTGCAGTCAGGTCCCCTCCTGTGCTGTTGGCAGTGGGCAGTGTGCAGGGCCTGCGAACAGGAGATAAAGAGTTCAGGCAGAGTGTTTTTTCTCACTAACTGTGGATTTGTGTGTTTGTTCAGCTGGTGGCTCTGATAAGCCCCATTCTGCCAAATAAAAGCCAAGCAGCCTCTAGGAGGGGCCTGGAAAAGGGTGTCAGAAAGGGACCTTCCTCCTCTCTGTCCCAAATCCCCGGGTTATCACCTTCCCCAAAGCGCCCAGACAGGGAAGGGAGTCAAGGTGCAGGGATACTCTGTAGTGTGGCAGCTGGGGGCACAGCCCCTGATACCCAGGGACTGTCTCGGCCCAGCTGTCTCCCACCTCTGGGCCAGCAGGACATCTCCTCATGCTCCATGGGAGCCTGTACACCACGGACCCAGCACCTTTTCTGAGCCCTGCAGCCGCTGGCTGGATTCCTGCCAGCCCCCTTCCCCTGTCTAAGATGTGCCCTCAAACATGGTTTTCGGGGACCTGTCCCCTTATATCCCTTACTGTCCCAAGGTACCTGTCGCCCTGTTGGGGCAGGAATCCACTCTTACTGAACTAGTTGCGGCCCTGGGCCTGGAGATGGCCTATGAGGGCTTCTGCCACCTTTGAGAAGAGCCATGGTGCCTCCAGGCCCCTGCCTCAACCCTCCTGGCCCTTGCACTGTGCTGGCCAGGAGGATGAGGGGGGATGCCACCAGAGTGGATCGGGATGGGGAGGCCCTGGCTGCAGCTGCCCCCGCTGCAGGGCTGGCTCCTCCGCCTCTGAGCCTGGGTCCAGATTTTCAGTGTCTCTGCCTTTTGTCTGGGAGCCGAGCTGAGCCGGCCGGGCCGGCGGCGGCGCATTGTGGGGCCGCCAGCGTAAGATGGCTGCCAAGGCCTAAGATGGCTGCCAGCAGCGCCTGAGCCGCGCCGGGAGGCACGTGGCGGCGGCGGGCCGCGCCGAGCCTGCGTGCTCCTCACATCCAGCTAAAAGTGATAGCAGCAGCGTGTCGAGCAGTGTCCTGGTGGAGAAGGATTTCCTGTCTGTCGCGCTCTCCTGAAGCCCATTTGTCTCTGCCTCCGTGGCTGGCCCACCTCCATTTCTTTGTTGGTTCTCCCGTCTTTCTGTCCCTGGGCCGGGTGTGCGCGTGCACACTCACACACTCACACACTCACGCAGATGGCCGTCTCCACTTGGCCTTTCACGGTAGGCCCGGACCTCTGACTCCATGGACCCAGGCCAGGAGGGCTTGGTGGGGACTGAGTTGGTCTTAGGATGGGTGGGGTTTGTAGCAGAGACCCCTGGGCAGCAGAGCCTAGACCATGTACCCCTCACTGGACTCTGCACGCCAGTCCTGAGGCTGTGCCTCTCTGGAGCTGTGAATTGGAGCAGCTTCAGAGCCATTCTCAGGAGGCCCTAGGGTGGGCTACCTGCCACCTAGGCCCCCTGGCTGCTCCCTCCTGGACTGGCTGGGACTCCAGTCTGACCCAGAGAGCCAGGAATGGGAAGAGGTGAGAGAGTGACAAGAAACTTCATGCCCACATGATGCCAGGGCAGAGAGGCCGCTTTCCCAGGGAGTGTGGGATGAGGTCCCATGGGCTCCCTCCAGAGCATAGAGTGCTGCTAGAAGAGACAGCCGGGTGGGATCCTCTTTTCTGATCCCCAAACACACCACCCGGGTGAGTGAAAAGGGAGGGTGCACCCTAAACCCTAGGTTGAGGGGCCTGGCAAACATTTTCCTTGTAGACCTATTTTCTTGATTCGCTACAAAATGTATTACAATTTTTTAGATTTAAAAAAATCTGACAAGGTAAAGGATGGGGGGTGGGCCTGAAATTGTCACCCTTTTCCACTGGGGTAGGTGGCCAGGAACTTGGCCAGTGTTCCCAGCCTCGGATACAGCGGGGTCCTTGCTCTGAGAGTAGGGGGGCCCCTCAGGTGGATTGCTGTTCTGCCCACCAGCCCCAGCCCCCAGCTATCTCTCTTCTCTTCTGAGTGTCTGAAGGGTCCCCAGCCCAACTCTCAGCAGATATAGCCCTTTGGGAACCTCCTCATAGTGGGAGGCCAGCAGGCTGAATGCAGGTGGTGGGCAAGACCCAGGAGGCAGGGTTGCTCCAAAGAGTCAGGGAAAGTCCTGGCTAACACAAGGCCCACTTTTCAGATGCTACCCCCCATGTTATACCCCTGCGAGCAGCTGATTCTTTACCAAACGCCTGCCTTTGCCCCACAACTTGCCCCAGTCCCTCTCTACTCCCCTCTCCAGCTGCCATGCCCGGACAGGCATTCTGGAGGTCCCTGTTGTGCCCCTGGCACACAAAGCTTTGAGGACCTGGGGGGGGGGGGGCTTTCCCAAGCTCAGCAAAATATTCACACACACACTCCACCCTGCCCCCAGCCCTCTGTGAGCTCTCACTGCACAATGGGCCCTTGTCTTGGGGCTCCCTCTGAGCAGCTGTGGCACTAGGGCATGAGACAGCCCAGAAAAGCTGGCACAGAGCGGGCGGTGGCGGCAGGGCAAATCTCCCCCCTCTGGGTTGCCAGGCACTGCCTGTGAGCATAAAGGTGAGGTGGGGGAGGCGCAGGCAGACAGGAATGGCTTTAATTAACCAAGTGAGGGAAGAGGATGCTCCTCTAGAAGCTTGGGCCGGGTGGGGTATGGGGGACCTTTGGGTCCCTCCCAGCTTCAGCCATGGTCCTTTCTTCTCTCCTGGGTACCCTCCTTTTCCTGACTCTTGGCCAGTGCTGCTCACCCATCGGTGACTTTGTCCCTCCGGGCACACTGGGCAGTGTCTGGAGGCAGTTTGGGTTGTCACAACTGGGGTGCTACTGTCATCTAGTGGGTGGAGGCCAGCAATGCTGCCAAACCTCTACAGTGCACAGAACTCACCCACCCCCCTGCTACCACAGAGAACAACCAAGCCCAAGTGTCAGTAGTGTCAAGGCTGAGAAACCTGTGCTAGGCATAAGCCTGTTTCTCCTTCCCCATCTTCTGGTCTCCTGAGACTCCCTGAACTGGCATGGGGTAAAGGTAGGGTGCAGGTGTTTGCTGGCCAGGGCAGCCCCACTCCTGCACAGGGCTCAAGGGTCAGCTTCTTGTTGGTGTTTGTGGGAAACTTTATTCCTGATCCATCCTCCCCTTTGTGTCTCTTGCAGAATCCGGACAATCAGATAGTTCAAACCAGCAAGGAGATGCGGACATCAAACCACTGCCCAACGGTCAGTGCCTTGCCTGCCTGCCTGTGCCCACCACAACCCTCCTTTTTCCACCCCTCCATGCCAACCTGGCCCTCCTCACTTCTTCCCCTTCACTCAGCTGTCCCCTGACTGAACCTGGGCTGCCATCCAGAGGGAAGGGGGCTCCTCTGCAGCCTACAGCATGCCCCTCTTCAGTGTAGACCTGAGAGCCAAGCCAGGACTGGACAAGGAGCTTGGGAGGGGAGAGGCAAAGGTGGGCAGAGCTCTGCAGAGACAGGCATGTGGCCCTTCCCAGCCTAGCCTACACTTACTTGCCCTTTTCTCTTTTCAGGGCACTTAAGTTTCCAGGACTGTTTTGTGACTTCCGGGGTCTGGAATGTGACGGAGCTGGTGAGAGTATCACAGAGTGAGTCCTTCCCTCAGAGCCAGGGATGGGGATTGGGGGTGAGGAGGTGGGACCTCACGGGGCCTCCCCACTGATGGGGTCTTGGGGCAGGGGAACAGGGCAGACAGGATTTCCTGGGACATACTCCACCCCATTGGCACAGGCTGGGTGGAGCAAAGTCATCCAGAGAGCCGCGTCTCCAGTCTCCACTGCTCTGGAGGGAAAAAAAAGTCACAACCAAAGGCGGCTCTTTCCCAAAGATCCCCAGCCAGGAGGAGGTCTCCTCAGTAGCCCAGACAGCCCACCTTCCCTCATCCCATGGCCCCACAGTGAACTTGCCCTGGGCTTCTGGAGGGCTGCTCAGGGCAACAAAACAGGCCCTATTGGGCCTCCCATGCCTTCCAAATCTCATGACTCTCTCATTTTTCCCAGCTCCTGTTGCGACAGCATCAGGGCCCAACTTCTCGCTGGCGGACCTGGAGAGTCCCAGCTACTACAACATAAACCAGGTGACCCTGGGGCGGCGGTCCATCACCTCCCCTCCTTCCACCAGGTGAGCCCAGTAGGCAGACTTCCTGTCATCCCCGCCCCAGGCCACCTGAGTGCTTTAGGACGTCACCTCTCATTGAGGGTGTGGCTCCAAAGTGGCCTGAGCCCACCATGCTCAACTACCCACTGAGCTTCCTGCTTCATGCTGTCACACAGCACTTGGCTTTAGGGAAACAAACTTAGACAAGGCACGGCTCTGCTTGGGGATTTGAGAAGGCCTCTCTCTTTGGGAGGGGACATTTGTGCACAGACACACATGAAATTGATATGAGCATGGGATGGACACTCCAGGTGAAGAGGGCAGCCTTTGTTCCAGCTGAGACTGGACAGGCTGGTGGGACCATGTCGTGGAGGGCTTCAGAGGCCAGAAGAAATTATTTAGACTTAATCCTCGGGCAGTGGGGACCAATGAAGGGTTTTAAGCAGGGGATGATAGGGATGTGTGTTCCAGAAAGCTCCCTCCAGTAGCAGCATGTGTGGGCAGGACTGGCAGCCAGTTAGGAGGCCATTCCTACAGGCTGGGGGGTGGTGTGGAGAGGGAGGGATGGAGTTGAGAGGTGCTTTGGGAGGTGGAGACCATGAGCCCTGATCAGGGCTTGCCAGGCACTGCAGGGTCAGATCCTATCCTTTTTTAAAATGTGGACATTTTATTCATTATGAGGTTTTTGGCATTCATTTTAATTTTTTAAAATATTGCGGTGGCTGGTTGGTTAGCTCAGTGGGTTAGAGCACCATGCTGATAACACCAATGTCAAGAGTTTGGATCCCTGTACTGCCAGCTGCCAAAAATAAAAATAAAATGATTGCATTAAAATACACTTTATATTGATGCCTGAATTTTGTGACGCCCCTGACATTTTTGTCTTTGTGAGTACCTCACTTGCTTCACCCTGACCCTGGGGGCTGATGGGAAATACTAGGCAGCAAAAGAGGCAGTTGAGGGTTTTACCCGCTCCTTTGACAGGGGCAGCTTGGTGGATGATGGTATCACAGACGGGGAAAGGGGCTCAAGGAGGAGGAGGATCAGGCTTAGAGCTGCCTCGCTCTAGGGGTCAGGTTGGCTGGGCCAAGGGGCCCTAGGGGTGGTCTGAGGTTGGGCATGCAGGGAATGCACAGAAGTGCTGCTGTTGGCTGGCAACTGCACAGTTTGTCAGCCAGAGCACCTAGTGACTCCCTGAGGCCTCAGCCCACCATCGGTCCACCCTCAGCCCATCTGACTCTCTCCTCCTTCCCCAGCACCACCAAGCGCCCCAAGTCCATCGATGACAGTGAGATGGAGAGCCCTGTTGATGACGTGTTTTATCCTGGGACAGGCCGCTCCCCAGCAGCTGGCAGTAGCCAGTCTAGCGGGTGGCCCAACGATGTGGATGCAGGTATGGATATGGTAAATCCCAACCAAGAGCAAGGACAGCCTGAAGCCTCTTCCCCCAACTCAGTTTACCTGGCATGCTGCCAACCAGTTCCCCCATTGTCAGCACTACCCATCTCATGTCTCTTGATCTTCCAGAGAAGGGCAGACCAGGCTGGAGGAGAGGAGTTGGGCTGGCACTGAGTTGGCAGCAGAGCCCACAAGAGCCCACAGGCATGGCAGGCAGGAAGCAGAGGGTCCTCCAAGCCTCTGGTGTCCTGCAGAAGGGGCCACAGCCTCCTCTTCACAGCCCCTTCAGCCTCCTTTTCTTGGTATTTCTGTAGCTGTGTGTTCCTCATGGTTTAAAGTAGTCTTTCTACCTGGGCACTGGAGACATTTGGGGCTTTGTTATTCTCCACGGTGGGGCATCCTGTGCTCTGTAGGGTGTTGACCAGGATCCCTGGCCTCTACCCACCAGATTCCAGGAGCAAACTCCCCACCCCCAGTTTTGACAACCAAATATGTCTTTAGATATTGCTGAATGTTCCCCTGGGGGGCAGAATCGTCCCTGGCTGAGATGCTGGTCTTAAGGGCTCAACTTTACAGAGAGGTGTAAAGTCTAGTGAAGAATGAGCAGAGTAGTATTCAGACCAGGAGGGAAACTAGCAAGGGGCAAAGGTTCTGAAGAGCCCTGGGAAATCAGCTCAGTCTTTCCCAGTCTCCTCTAAGCACTTCTTTTCTATTGAACCCACCCACCTTCACCTCAAATCTTGACCGAGAGTGTGGACAGCCCTGGAGAACCCAGGTGGAGAGCGTGTGTATGCACACTTGTGTGTACATGTGTGTGTGTGTGTGCACGTGCACACATGTGAGGAAACTGGCTACAGAAGCCCTTGCCCACAGTGTCCTTGTGGTGTGGGTGTCTTGGGGCCGAGGGTGCAGACCCGCTTGTGTAAGGGATGCACAGGGCATGTCTACTGTGGACATGTTCTCGGACTCAGGAAGACATGGGTCTGACCCAGTGGCCCTTTGTCTGGTGTTTTCCAGATGGGCCCCTACTGGGAAGAGCCAAGTGGACAGGCTGGGCCAGGGCTTGGGAAGCCAGGCTGCTGGGCTGGGAAGTGCTCCTGCTTTTCTGCTGCCCAGAACAAATGCAGGCTGCAGCTTCTGCTCTCGGCCTCTGGGAAGAGGAGAGGAGGGCTCACCTCCAGGCCCTCAGGCTGAGGGAGTGGGTTTGAGACCCTCTAAACTGCCAGCAGAGGCTGGCCTCTGTGGGACAGTGCCCTGGTGTGACTCTGGCGGCTCCTCCCAGGGTCTCTGCCTGGCAGGCTGGGGCCTGGGCCAGCATGGCCCACATGCTTCCCTACTGGAGTTTCAGGAGCAGAAAGGTGTTGAGAAGGCTGGGAAAACTCTTGGGCTGCTTCCCAGTCCCCAGCCAGGGCCTCAGTCAGGTGACCCCTTCTACAAGGACTGCCACTGGGGTGCCTCCAGGGCTGCATCCACTGCTGGCTCCTTGGGCAAGGGCTCTCAACCCCTCTGCCCAGACCTAGTTCCTGAGGAGTCCCCCTCTCCCTGGCTCCTGCTCTCCTTTCTTGGCTTTCTGCTCTTGCGCCTGCCGTTTTGGCTCCTTCCAGCAGTCCTGCCATGCACAACACCCCCCAACATCCTCCTGCAGCCCCCCTCCACTCCGGCTTTCTCATTCCCCCCACCCAACCCCCTTCCTCTGTGTCTGTCGTTTCTCTGTGCTGCGACAAATCGCCAATTAAGCAGCCCAGCTGCGGGACAGGGAACAGCTGGGGAGGCACTGTGCGGCCGCAGGGACAGCTGTGCACAGCTGGTGGGGTGCTCCCCCTCTCCGCACCGTGCCAGCTATCAGGTGGCACACAGCTGCTGCCAGATAACACCTCTGTTGGCAGCTGGGAGATCGCCCTTCCCCCACCTCTTTTCTCTGCTAAGATGGCTCTTATTTTTCTGTTCTGTAGTTCCCCTACTCCCACCCAAACTGACTCAATTTGTCCCTCAAAGCTCTAAGGATCTGTCTTGACACCACCTTACCCCTCCCAGCTTGGGAACAGCCTTGAAGCTCAGCCCAGGACAGGAGCTCCCCAAGAGAATCTGGCCCACCAGGAGCCCTGCTTTTTCTTGACATCGTTTGGATGCCATGTAAACTGGGCAGAGATGACCTTGGTTGGCAACGCCAGGCTCCTAGAGTCTCCTGCTGAATGCCACCTCCACCTCTGGCACCAGGAGCAGAGCAAAGCCCTGAAACGACCCATCCTATGGCAGCCCATCCCAAGCACTCTCCAAGCCTGCCGGCCCCTGTTCCTGCTCTCTTGTTGGGCATCGTGTTCCTCCTGAGGGCTTGTGGCTGTGTTTCCCCTTCCTGAAAGGGAGCCCTGGCTTCTTCCCGCCAGGGACTTGCACGTCCCAGGGCACCGCGGCACAGACCCAGCCTGTCCCAGGCCCAACCCTCCCTGGCTCTAAGTCTGGCTCCCCAGGGCTCCTCCTGCAACCCTTCCCCAAGATGCTGGCCCTGCATCCCACCCTTTCATTCTGTTACTGCTTGTCAGGGCACAGGACGGGTCCCTCCTTGCTCACCCCTTGCACAGCGCATGCCGTGCCATATGATCTAGGGACCTCAATTTCTTCTTCCATCAGAAGCACCCATGACCTACATGTTTGGCCGCAGACCGTGTTGGGCAAAGGAGACAGGAGGGAGCATGGTGGGGGAGGGGCCAGGAGAAAAGGAGTTGAGCTGCTGGCTTCCCGCCCTCCCTGCTCCCACCCCAGCCCGCTAAACCTGCCCTGTGTTGCTGCTTCCTCCCCCCAGGCCCGGCTTCTCTAAAGAAGTCAGGAAAGCTGGACTTCTGCAGTGCCCTCTCCTCTCAGGGCAGCTCCCCGCGCATGGCTTTCACCCACCACCCGCTGCCTGTGCTTGCTGGAGTCAGACCAGGTGAGAAATGGGGGACCTGGAGGGGGGCAGTCGGGGAGGCGGTTGAGCACCGAGGGGCAGCTGGGCAGGTGAGGGGGCCTGGGCTGCTGAATGACAGCCCCAGGTTCTCTGAGTGGGCCATGGTGAAGCAGTGGGTGGGCATGGGACTAGCTCCCCCTCTGTGGCAGCTCCTCCTCGAGAACCAGGCCCAGCCCCTCAGCCTGCTGTCCTGGTTCCTGAGCACCCTTCCACTTACTTCTTTCTCCCCATGTGTATGCATGGGTGCTGTGTGTGGCACAGGCCTGTCCTGAGGCCTCCCTGGCTTGGGCCCAGTTCTCCTTTGGTCCCGCCGGCTGTGGTGGGAAGGCACAGACTTCTTCCCTATGCCTTGCTTTCTGCTCTTCTCTCTCAGCTCCTGGCTGAGCCTGGATCTGTTTTCCCAGCATGAATCCAGGCTGGTATGGGCTGTAGATGGGAAAGAGCATTCCTAAGGGACCAGGCTCCTGCTGAGTGTCCCGGGACAAGTGGATCCCTTCACTGGGCTTCCCTGCCCTTTTCTGGTAGGGAAAGGCTGGGCCTAGGGGACATGTGGCACCTGGGCTCCCCTCCAGGGAAAGGAGCTGCTCTGCTGCCTAGGGGGCTGCTCTCTCGCTTCAGTGTCTCAGGGTGAGAACACCTAGGTGTTCCTGAGGGGATGGCATCAGGCAGAAGGTTGTGAGAGCCGAGTCCTCAGCCCCACCACTCCCTCACTGCTCTTCTCCCTGGGCACCCATCTGTCAGCAAGAGGCCTGGACTTTTTCTGGACAAGGCCCTGTGTCTGCCCGCTGTCTCCTGGGCCCTTCTGTAGGACACAGAGAACAGGGACGTTTACCTCCCAGCTTCCTCCTTCCTCCTCCTTGGGCCTCCTGGCTGGGAGCCCAGAGGCAGTCGGAGCTGGGGCAGGGCGTGGCAGCTGCAAGGTGGGGGCGGGGAGCCTAGGCCCTGAGCGCAGGCAACAGGAGGGCAGCAGGCCCAGCTCCCACTCAGCTTTTATGAACTCCAGAGAGAAGCCAAGTTTCCTCAGCCCCCTAATGAAACTGAGAGCAAGAGCGAGCTGATTGGAAACAGACGGGAGGGAGAGGACTGGGCCTCAGGGAAGAGCTGGGGCCTGCGCGGGGTGGGAATTGCGTGTGTGAGGACACGTGTGTGAGGGCGATGGGTCTGTGTGGTGGTGGCCGGGAGCACACCGGCTTGCACTTGGGAGATGCATGTGCGTGTGTCGGGAGCCCGTCCTGCACAGGCGCTGGGCCGTGTCTTTATCTAGAGCCCCACAGAGCCATTTGCCCCCTCTCGTCCCTCACCAGGCTCCCACCCTGGGCCAGGGCAGGGCGAGCGCAACACTCATCTTGGGCACAGAACATAAGGGGGTGCCCAAAACTCAGTCATCAGGACAAATAATATTTTAATGCAATATATTAAAAAGTTAAAACTATTGCAGAAAATATCTGGTGAGCAAATATCAACATTTTGGATAATTTTAAACAAAAATGGAATCCAACCCTGCACTTGCATGACCCTGCCTCGCCTGCCTCACCATAATCCCAGTCCTGGTTCCAATCATGCTTTATTTATAGAGATAAGCAGCTGGCCGGCAGGCCTAGTTTATCAACTTGATTATTATTACTTTTTATACATTGCATTAAACATTAAACCCTTATTGATCTAGATGACTGTGGGTTTTTTGTGCTGCCTTAACTTTTGCGCCTGAAACCAAAGCCTCACCTACCTTACCTGCTCCTGCCCCATTCTCTCTCTTCCTCGGGATCCTCATCCCGAAAGGGAGCCCTGGCTTCTTCCCGCCAGGGACTTGCACGTCCCAGGGCACCGCGGCACAGACCAGCTCCCATCCTCTTAAGCCCCCTCCCCCCCACTGACTGTCTCCTGGCCTGATGCCCTTTTCTCCCTGCCCACATGCATGCAGGGAGCCCCCGGGCCACAGCATCAGCTCTGCACTTCCCCTCCACATCCATCATCCAGCAATCGAGCCCGTACTTCACGCATCCAACCATCCGCTACCACCACCACCATGGGCAGGACTCACTGAAGGAGTTTGTGCAGTTCGTGTGCTCGGATGGCTCGGGCCAGGCCACCGGACAGGTGAGTCCAGAGGGCCCGAGGAGCCCCACTGCAGCCTCATCTCTGTGTCTGTCTGTCTGTCTCAGGGATCACAGGGAGAGGGCCCGAAAGCAAGCAGCACGCCCAGGGCTGGAGCAGCAGGGAGCTGGTAGTACAGAACGCCTCGATTTCTGTGGGTCTGGGGGTGGGGTCCGTGTATTACTATCGTGCCTGTTCCTATGGTCCAGAGAGGTGGGGGCAGCGGCTGGGCCCACCTTGCTTGGGCTCCTTGTCCTCCCCATGGTCCTTGTTCCCCCAGCAGTATGACCTGTCCAACCCGGACCTGGGCCCCTACCTCCCAACATCTCTCTTAAAGCTCAGGACTGCAAAGATTTGGCAGATTCCAGCTCAGCATTTTCAGTCTCAGCACTATTGACATTTGGGGCTGTTTATTCACCATTGTGGGAATGGTGTGTGCATTATAGGGTGTTGAGCAGCATCCCTGGCCTCCACCGGCTACATGCCAGGAGCACCTCTGCTCTTGCCACTTGTGATAATCGAAAATGTCTCTAGATTTCATTGTGCCCTGAGGGTAAGACCATGCCAGGTAAGAAGCACCATATACAAGCAAATCCCTAGCCCACAGAGCTCTCATGGAGATGCCTGTTGGCAGGACTCTTAAGGAAGGACCCCCAGGACAGTTCTGGTTCTTGAGCAAAGTTATCCTGCTCCTCAGCCCTGGGAGCCCTAGGGCCCAGTCACTGATGAGGAGACAAAGGAATTATCCCCAAGGATAGTGGGCCAGAGGCGACACTTCAGTGGGACAGTGGTCCTTGCTCAGTACCTGGATGACCTCTCTGAGTCAGGATGCAGTGGTCTCTTGACCTATGGGAAGGTTGCGGAGCTGGAGCAGCATACTACACCATAAGACCCAGCTCCTCTGCAGCCAACCATTCCAGCCCAGAAGCTGCTGTGAGAGGTCCGGTGGGGAGGATGCTTGAAGGGCTGTAGTCAGGGAAAGTGTTCCAAAGCCCATGGCAGAGGCAGTCCAGGGCTCAGCCTTGGGCAGCCTGTGCACAGAGCGGGCATTTGCTCAGTGCTGGTGTATTAATGTGGGGCAGGTCCATGGGTCGGCCGCCTCACTCTGTCCATGACACAAGCCAGTCTTTTCCCCTCCCTCCTGAACTCCCTTCTTCTGCTGTCCTCCTCATCTTCTTTACCCCTTTGCCCTTTGAGAATCCATCTTGCTGACTGAAGCTTCTCAGCGTGCTCGTAGCTTTCCCCACCTCTCTGGACGAGCTCTGTCCGCTTTTGGGTGCATGGAGGGAAGAGTGGACCTGATCCCTGACCACCACTGCGCTTCCTTCAGAGATGCTAGCAAAGTCTACAGGGAGCCACCAGCCTACACCCCAGTCCCCAATGGGCCTGGGGTCTGGAGTATGGAGCAGAGGCCAGGAAGGCTGACTTGCTGGCCTTCTCAACTACAGAGGCAGCCAGGGTTTGGAGTCAAAATGAGACCGGCAAAGGGACCAGGTTAGCCCAAGGTGCCAAACTGAACCACAGAACCCTTGAGACAGTGGGTCAGTCAGTCCCCCAGCCATCCTCAGAGCTGGGTCCTGAGCCTCTCCTTTGACTTGACTTTTCAAGATGGAGTACTCACCTTGCCTAGAAGGTTCTCTTCTTGAGGCAGTCACTTGCTCCAAGTAGACCATGGACAAAACACTGCAGGCAGGGATGCAAACAAGCACCCTGATTAAGCAGAAAGCCTGGCCCAGCTGGGAGCAGCCTGTCTGGGTTTCCTCTTGTGGCCTGTCCTGCTGAAGAGAGGAGGAGGGGTCTCAGCCGGGAGCCTGCTCGATGGAGCCCGTACCTAGCTTCTGAGAGGAGGCTAGAGACAGCACCATGCTGTGCCATGGAAGAGGCCAATGATGCATAGCTCAGAGAGAGCCAGAGGCCCCCGGGCTCTGCAACTCCCTGGTGACAGGGAGCAGTAGTGCCAGGCCATGCTTGTACCACAGCCACCATTAGAGCAGAAGTCCTCAGACCTAGCATACGTGAGAGTCACCTGAAGGCCTTGCTGGTGGCTGAGCCTCACCCACAGCGCTTCTGATTCAGCAGGGCCGGGGTGAGGCCTGACAATCTGCATTTCTCCCAAGTTCCCAGGGAATGCTGATGCTGCTGGTCAGGAGACCCACTTTGAGAACCACTGCTCTAGAACCTAGAGGAGCAAATTCCTAATCTCCTTAAGAATCTGAAGTTACAGATCTGCTTTGCAGGAAAATATCTACCTAGAAAAATTTTACAGACAATTGCAGCAGGATTCCCAGGCACCCCTATAGCTCGACCTTGCACCTGAGGGTAAGGCACTGATTTAGAAGAACCCAATCAGTAACGGCCAAGGCCAAGTGGAGACACCTGAGAGGAGATGCAAAGAGCAGAAAGAGGAGGCCTTGTTAGCTGTGTTTCAGGGAAAGAGAAGAGACCGCCAAGTGAATGTGATGGAGAAGTTGCAGGGTCTGGTGGCAGAGCTGACTCTGGCAGGCAGGAAGCCTGGCTCTGGCTTAACCTTGACCAGCAATGCTGGAACGTCCAGGCCCGTGTCTTCATCTGTGAGATGAACGTGAAGAGCTATACCAGCTTCTGGATTCTTTCTAGCTCCTAATTCATGAAGTTTTAGGGCACCACAAAGTTATAAGACAAGATTTTTGAAACTTTGACTTGTACTCCAATCAAAGCTAAGACATCCCAGCCTGGCTGGAAGTTTCTTCTAGAAACTGAATGTTGTAAATCAGCAGGTTTCAGTGTCCAGCCATATTGGGCTGGGATTAGCCTTATCAGGTGGGATTAGTGGTTTAGATGTTCCTGGGGGAGACTGGCAGGAGGCAGACACTGCCCTGTGGTAGCAAGGGCTGCACAGAAGGCCTTCGTGTCCCAGCCCCCAGGAGCCTGAGTGCAGTACGCTCTAAAGAGTGAGGCTATGATTTGTTGCAACTGTTCCATTTCCTGCCCTGGTGGAAGAATGAGATAGGAACAAGATAGGCCATGGAAATGAGAGGGGGTGGTTGCTGCTTGGATTTGGTGTCACCCCTGCAGAGTTGGAAACCCTCGCTCTCTGGCCCATGCTGCTGCCTGGAACCAAAGGGTCCCTTTCCAAAACAACACCAAGCACAAGGGAACCCGAGCGCAGGACAGATGGGGGCCAGCAGCCACTGCTTGCTTTTGCCTGGGGCCTCCAAGAGTTGTCTCCCTTGGAGTGGGCAGGAATGGTCGAGTCGAGGGAACCATTTAGAGGGACGATGTGTCAGACCTAGGTACTGGTTATTAGGTGTAAAGGACAGTGGGCGGAAGAGTCAGAGTTCAGAAGGGTGTGGCCTGCACAGGTCAGCCATGGGGTCCTATGATTTTAAAGTGCAGCAGGAGGGACGAGTTGGTTCTACTCAGTGAGGGGGACTTGAGTGCTTCGTGCTTCTGCCTGCTCATTGGGGAACCAGGGCAGGGGTGGTGGGGCAGCCTGCTTCGAAGGCTCCAGTGGACAAGAGTGTCCTGGAAGAACAGGGCACAGAAATGGACTGTGATTCAGGTTATCTGGTTGCTCCCCATAGAGGGGACAGTATTTTTTGAGCAGGCCTTGAAGGGTGTGGGAAAGGGTCTCTCAGACAGACGGCTCTGCAGTGAGCAAGCGTGCATCCCCAGCTGTTCTGGAAACTCCAGTCGGTTTGGAATGGGAAGTGCCTGGGGGGTGGGGGTGTAGGGGCATGGGTGGTGGGAGACTCCATCCAGGCTCCATTGTGAGGGCCTCGAATGCCCCACTGGGAAGATTGTGTTTTAGGTCAGATGCAGTCAGAGCGGTGAGAGGTTTGGGAAGATAGGAGACACCCAAGCAAATTGGATTTGGGGAAGAGGTTGATGAGCCTGCTGGAAAGAATCATAGGATCCCTGGAGGCAGGCGTGGCTGTGAATTTCTGGCCTTACCAGTTGTAGCCAGGTGACTGGATAAACCACTTCACTGCACAGAGCCTCAGTTTCCTCAGTTGTGAAATGGGGAGAATAAAACTCCTTTCCCAGTAGTTTCCCAATGGCCACACTGTTAATGTTTGGACCAACGATCCTTTGTCCTGGGGGCTGTCCTATGCATTGTGGGGTGTTGAGCAGCATCCCTGGCCTCTACCCACTTAGTGCCACTGGCATCCCCCAGACCTTACACTGTGATGACCACAGATGTCTCCAGACATTGCCAGTGTTTCCTGGGGGAGGTGCAGAATTGCCTCTGGGTGAGAACTGCAGCCTCCTCATGAGGTGGTTGGAGGGTTAGACACAAGCACCTGGTCCAGGGCCGGGCACTGAGGGCGCTGAGCTGATGAACACACTGTCAGCATGGGGGAAACCCCCTGGAATCACATTGTCATTGTCGTCCAGGTGGAATCAATGAGGGTAGAACGATGGCTAGCTGGAGACATCAAGGGGTGGGCTCCACCAGGTTTGCCCACCTGTAGAAGGAGCACAGGAACCTCCCTAGGTCTTGCACCCCATGGGAGAGGAGCCAGTTTAGGCCAAAGATCTCAGGCCAGGCTTTCGTGAGTCAGGGCTGCAGGTGGTCACCTAGGGCACTGTCCAAGGCAGCAGGAGGTACATGCCCAGAACTCCAGGGAAACTGTGCCTCCAAGAGGCAGAGGAGTCTCTGCCTTTCCCTTTGGCACCTGCATTCGCTGAAGCCAGAATGCTGACCCATGCGAGGCCATGCATGGGACCTGGAGGAAGAAACTCAAGTTTGAGGCAAAAGAGGGCCTGAAGGACAAGTCGTTGATCCTGGTTGCTGAGCGTCTTCAGCTTCTGAGGGCGTCGTACAGGGAAGTTCTCTTGAAGAGCCTCATAGGAGCTGGAGCTGGCAGCGATGGATATGCTTCCCTGGCTTCTTGTTTAGAGAATAGGCCAGTACCCCACTGTCCACAGGCAACAAGGACATGGGCCATGGGAGCTGAGCACGAGCTCCCTACCTTCTGGCGTCCTCTGTAGGCCGTGCCATGGGTAGAGGCTGGCAGGCCTGTCCCGGCCCACAGGCCCACGGAGGGAGGCACGCAGGTGACGGCGGAGGACGACGGAGGTGGTTGGGGGGGGGGCTAGGGGGCGATCTGGCTCATCTTTCCTGCCATAAGAGAAGGTCTTCAGGAGCATGAGAGCTCTAGATGCAGCTGCATGTATTGCTAGGTGACACATTTTTGTACTTAAAACATTTTCCCTAAGAAATAACAAACCACCCGTCGGACACCCCTCCCTCCCTCCCACATCTTCAAAAGAGGACCAAAAAAAGAAAAAAAAGAGAAACACCTGAGAGACCAAATAGAGGCCTTCCACCCTCACCCATCCTGTGTCTTGGATGAGAGGACCCAATTCTGCATCTTCCACCGGGAGCGCCCGCTCTCAGGAGCGAGCTGGCGCGGCCGCGCAGGGGAGCGTCTGTCTGTGTGTGATGTGCCTTCATGCGTCACTCTATTTATGTTGTTCGCAGCCCAACGGTAGCGGCCAGGGCAAAGTCCCGGGGTCATTTTTGCTACCGCCGCCGCCTCCAGTGGCCAGACCTGTGCCCCTTCCTATGCCTGATTCCAAATCCACCAGCACTGCCCCAGACGGCGCCGCCTTGACTCCTCCATCACCTTGTAAGTGGACGATGAAACCAAAACCACAACGCCCAGCATCCCCGGCCCATCCAAACAGTCTCCACTACAAAAAGAAAAGCCCTCCCCTTCCCCACCACCAAATGCCCCAACCCAGAGCGCCATGGAGCCTCCCGCCCAGACGAGAGCAGAGCCAAGTCCCCCAACCACAGCCTCCCGGGCCTCAGTGGCACCAGCCAGCACCCTAGAGCCCCCCTGCCTGCTGCTGCCCCCAGCCGGGGCCCCTGGCCCCGGCCCCTCTGGGGGGCGGGAGGGAGAGCACAGTGGGGAGCACAGGCCAGGGGTGCTGGCGGGGAGGGGCGGGAGGCACAGCCATGCCATCTTCATGCCTGATTGCTGTGTTTTTGTTTTTTGTTTTTGTTTTTCAATTTTTTGTTGTTTTGTTGTTTCCCCCCACACACCAAGAAAATTAAATGTGACCACAAGGTGACGCCACCACCATCCCCTTTTTACCTTGCCCCCCTCACCTCCATCCGGGCCCTTGGGCCTCTAAAGGTATAGCAGGCGGCCCCTGACCCTTCCCCCTCAGTCTCCTCAGTCTCACATTTGGTTTCTCGTTGTTCCTCTTTTTTTTTTTTTTTTTTTTAACCCCTCCCATTCCTCTCCCCTCCCTTTCCCTCACTTCCTTTCCCAGGTCGGACGTTCCAAGGACAAGGGGGGGGCTCTAGGCCTCAGCTTAATTCATCTCTCTCTCTCTATTTTTCCCCCCCTTTTTCCTTTTAAACCAATGACAAATTTTGTCAAAGGGAAGAGAAGAAAATTCTAAGGCGACAGACCCCAGATAGACCCGACGTGAAGGACAGGAGAGGTGGAGGATAGAGGGGTGCACTGTCTGTGGGCAGGGGCGGGCAGCGCTGGGGGCTCGCAGGCCACAGGCCAGGACGGGGCAATGGGAGGGCAGGCCCATCTCACCGATGCTCTCTGTGCTCTCTGTCTCTCCTTCTTTCTCATGGTTTCAGTTCTTTTCCCTTCTCCATCCTCTTCATGCCATCTTCCCATCTGCATCTGCCATAAGACACAAAGTCATGGTCATGGTCATTGGAGGTGGGCAGGGTGGGGGAGGGAAGCCAGGCTATGGGGTGGGGGGGCCTCTGGAGAGAGATGCATGGAATCTGGTGAGCACGGGGTTCCCGGGTGTGTCTGGTATAGGGCAGGGGTGGGCCTTCCGGGCAACCTGTGACACTCCTTCCCCTCTGGGGGCATCTTCCCTCCTGGGGGTGTAGGACCTGTTCCTTCCTGTGAGGCTTCAGCTGGACAACTTGAGAAGAGCTCAGGGGTGTTTGGTTCATTTGTACCCTTGGGTCCCAGGACAGCTGCCCCGGCACCCAGGCCCTGGGGCTCTGCCAGGTCCTCGGCCTCCTCCTTCCCTGGTATCTTGGCCCATCTCAGACCCTGGGACCACAGTCCCATTGGACCTGGGGCATCAATCAAAGGAGGAGAATGCCATGGGCCTGAGCCAGGCAACCAGCTGCTAGCCCCTCTCTGACCCTGCCCTACCTGGCACAGCCCTTGGTTGGGCCCTGTTAGAACTCTCCAAGCTGCCTGCTCAGTCCTTGGGACTGCCCAGGGTAGTAAGTGGTGCAGCACCCAGCTAGGCTGCCTGGGTTGCAGAGGTGGCCTGGCTGAGGAAGGCTTCCAGCAGTGTGAGGCCAGGCCACCAAATCTCCCACCCTCCCCCAGCCACCTCTCTTCAGGAGGTACCAGTGGGAAAGCAAGGGTACCCACTGAGGGTGCTTGGGGACCAAGGCTATCCCCAACCCTGCCCAGTGCCTCATTAGGGGACAGAGCTGGGTCTGCGTGACCTCAGCCATAGCCTCCAGGGTACCCCTCTCCTTCTGGGCCATGAAAGAGGAAGCCTGCCTGAGTCTGTGGCTGCTGGGGGATGCAGTGTGTGCTTCTGGTCAGTGAGGATGAAAGGCCCCTGTGTGTGTGGGTGGGGGGGAGGGAAGCGATGGTGGCAGGCTTGGAGCCTGGCCTCCAGCCTCCAGCACAACCGCCCCTCTGGCCCACCCTTCCCACTGTAAGCCTAAACCCGGCAGCACTGTCTAACCCAGTCTCTCCCTTTCTCAGCAGCCCCGAAGGGCAGTGCCCAGGCGGGCCCCCAGGCCTGACGGGGTCTCTCCCTCTCTCCCCTGCTTCCCACAGCATTCGCAACGACAGGCGCCTCCTCTGCCAACCGGTTTGTCAGCATCGGACCCCGGGACGGCAACTTTTTGAACATCCCACAGCAGTCTCAGGTAGGAGAGCCAGCCTGACTGCCTGGACACAGTGACAGGGGAGTAGGCAGGGTTGGAGCATCTTGGTGTTAGGGAAGAGGCTGGGATCCTTGGGGCTGATCAGGGAGAGGGCTGGGGCAGGGCTGGAGGGCCCAGGCTTTTGAACGCCCAGCTGAGCCTGCCTCCCCGGGCAGCCCCCAGGCTCCCTGGTTAATCAGCTAATTGGATAATTAGCTCTGACAGCCCCGGCCCTAGGGAAGGCGGCCAAGGACCCAAGGCTAGCAGTGCTCTGGGCCAGGCCTGGTGGAAGCAAAGATGGAAGCCTGAGGCCCCATCAGGAGGACAGTGACTGTCTCGTTCCTCTCCTGCTGCAGCTGGGAGCCCTGGCCCCTAGCCCTCCCCTCTTCCCTGGCTTTGAGTGGGCTGGACGAGTGGTGGAGGAGGGACAGAGTGGGCCTGGCAGGCTGTGTGCCTAGATACTGGCACTGAGGGCAGGGCAGAGCCGGCTGCCTCCCTGGAGGCCCCTCCCCCAAGTTCCAGTGAGTCCTGTTAGTGGGAAGGCCAGGCTGCTGGAACTCGCCAGTGCCCGCTCCCACCTCGTGATACCACTCCCTATTCTCACAAAGAGACAGACCCCTGTCACTAACAGGAGACAAGCCCACCCTCAGCCCTCCAGCTGGAGGCTCTGGACCGGGCCTCATGTATGCATGTGTGCATATGTGGCTTTGCCCCACATGCCTGTCCCCATGAGGCTGGGAATAGCCCGCAGAACCCAGGAACCTCAGGGGTACGGGGAGGACCCACCTCAGGAACAGGGCAGAGGCAGCCTTAGAGGGCCTAAGGCTTTTACAATGCAAGGCTTTGGAAAAGAACATGCAAATATCTTTTTTTTTTTTTTTGTCTTTTTGTTCCGTGTCCGGCAACGGATCGCAACCCTCAGTGTTGCCCCCGTACCGGACCAGGGACCGGCAACGGGATTGCAAAC